ACGTAAAAATAAAGGAATTAATTTTTTTCTCTGGCAAGACCAGACGTACACAAATTAATGGTAAATGTAAATATCAAATAATTCGTTGATTGATGTATTTTTACTCATATTTTAGTACTCTATACAACTTTTTAAGTCCAAGAACCATGTCTCTTTAATTGCTATTTTTTTTTCAGCGTTTCCTGTAATTGGGTTTCACCTGTTGGAAATAAATAAATAAATAAATAAATAAATACAATTGCAACATTAAAGATCCATGTACATACTTTACAGGCAATTGGGTCTCCAACGGACCCTTGTTTCATATTTATTTACTCATTCTTTATAATATTAAATATTAAATTATATAATATTATTATTATCATTATTATTATTATTATTACTATTATTAATGAGCACGTACCATTACACTGAGACATCCCCTGAGATGACTTTTTTGTGATATGGGCCTGTGCAATCTTGTTGGAACACCCTGTACGATAATGGATCTACAATCCGGCGCATCATCAAGACATTGCCTCATTTCATTCCACATGGTTGTTTTGCGGTCGATAAATATTTTTCTAAATGACACTCGAAAGTTTAATGGCTAGGAGAAAATGTTCTGTTGTTTGTTATTTATGTCTTGTCGGCATATAATTTTGATACAAATAAATTAACGTAAAAGCTTTATAAAATAGAAATGTGGGCGAGGTGATTTTTGATATCTATTTTTACTTATATTGTTATAATCTCGAAATCCTCGATTTTTTTATGAGTGTTTGGCAATTTGGTCGTGAGGAAACTATGATATACGACAAGACATAAGGAACAAATTGTTTATGGTTTTTGGATTCGGAAACATATATAAGTTTTTGTTGGTTTAGGATATTGGTCGTAAAAATTTGTATTTAGTCTGGAACAGAATGTCAGCCTGATCTTTGTGGTTGAGTATAGGTTTGTGGTTTGATCATACAGTGGTTGGTGACTTGTCGGTAACTGTGTTGGGTATCCGGCCGTGTGAATTTCGTCTATAAAGCATAGAAGAGTGAACGGAATTTGTGTGATAGGATCTTGGACGCGTTTACTGACAGGTTGGCGACTGCTGTACGAACAGAACTTAAGACAAAAAATCTTAGGCTGCCATCGACTGGGGAGCAATAATTTGACAGAGTTTAGTGCTTCAATGCAGGTTCGGAAACAGGAGGTAAGTAAGTGAGGTAGCCGCTTCAGGTCGCAATATCATGGGGGTGCGCAAAATTGTCACTCAATGTGGGGGTAGGGCGCATATCTTATCCTTTACCTCAAAACTCTGAAACCGAAACTGGCTTCAAAAATACAGTGTAACGAAAACACCGTTTTATTGTTCAAAGTATAATTTATTACTGCAACACTAATTTATGAATATGTCTACGGGACTATTATTGCATCTTGATTCCGCGCTCGCTGTCGGTCTGGCTCGACTGAGACTCGACTGTGACTAACTGCCTCCGCCATCTGGCCGGGAATATATTTACGTATCGACGTGTCGAGAAATACTCTAGCGTTTTTCAGTCGTTGATTTCCATGACCCCTATTCGTAGGCCGTTTGCGCCTTGGCACAACAAAGATACAGCGCGGTAAACCAGCGCTGCAATAGCTATTCTTCAGTCATACTTATCTATATTTGGTAGATTTGGAACCAACACCTGTTAGATACTCTGCTTGTACTATTATTAGTTTTCTTGATTATTATATAAAATAATTATTTTTAGGAAAAGGAAAATGATTTGTTATCTGTCACATTGGCAGTGAAGGTGGCTTTGTGCCCTATGGGCATTTGAGTCAACGAAAACGACCGACTACCATGAAGAAATGGAAGGGAGTTCATTGGAACGATGGTTTAAAGAAAGGCTTGACGACAATGCCGTCATTGTACTTGATAATGCTGCATACCGCACTAGAAAACTAGAAAAAATTTCCACAATGTCCACAAGAAAGGCAGAAATTCAACAATGGCTCCTATCAAAAGATATTAGTTTAAATGAAAATATGGTGAAAGCAGAACTTATCCATCTAGTCAGGCAGGACAAATATAAATATAATCTTAACGTTATTGAAGAAATGGCTAAAAACCAAAATAAGACCCTTATTACTGCGAATTAAATCCCATTGAAATGTTTTGGGCAAATATAAAAAATATGTGGCTTCAAACAATAGAACATTCAAATTTTCTGACGTGAAAAATTTTGGAGAAGTTTGAAAATTGGAAAGATTGCATCCGTGACGTTCAAGAGACAATAGAAACAAAGGTGTGGGATCTGGATAATATGATCGATATTCAAATTGAACCTGTACTAATTAGTATTAACCATTCGGACGATCATTCAGGTACTTGTGAAAAGTATGTGCAGTTCTTTCTATAAAAATAATAATTTATCTTGTTAGATTGTTCCAAAACCATTGGGGAAAATACGGTCCTGTATAATCTCGCATTTCGGCATGTTGTGTCTTGTCTGGGCGTAAATGTACTACGAATGGGGTATTTAATTAGTGACCGACCGAATCTTGATGTTCAGCCGAAACCGAAACCGGAACCGAACCTTCGGCTTCCGTCCTGGTTTCGGCCGAAACCGAAACAGAAGCTTTCCTTTGACTTATGGGCAGCAGCGGTGGCCGCAGTAGTAGACTCTTCGGTGCGCTGTGCGGGTTGGAATCCCGTCCCAGGAGAAATTTTTCTCTTTTCTATGGATGTTGTGATTGTCCGTAGGTGGTAGATGGTATCTGACTGTCGAACGCGGAGGTACCACCCGACGGATTTCGTAGGCGGGGCCAGAATGTGTGCATGTTGCATGCACACGTGTTCCCTCGCCAGAGTCCGTGTGGCGTTCCCCCTGACCCCTGTATCCCCCTGTAGCCCCACAGTACCCCATGGGTGTTTAGGCCTTAGGCCTTCGTGGTAGTTGGAGTATAAAAAAAAAGAATGAGGATGTACATGATTCTTCGATTTTAGAGGTTTACGAAGTTATTAAAGGTCTTTGAAAACGTATCTCCCATAATGTATGTTTTTCTTGTTCAGTAAGGTTAGGTACTTGAAAAAACACAAAAGTTAATTTTTGAAATAAAAGAATGTATTCCATTAACATGTTGGTAGTTGAAATACTAGAATAATATAACAAAACGAATCATAAATAAATATCTATTATCTATTACATTGCACTTATATGAAAACAAACATGTATGTCCTGTAACTTCCATAAACATCACCAAAACAACTAAAAGTTTTTAACTCAAAATAGATTTTCTATATAGAAATTGACAATAAACTAGTAAACATAACCAAAAAGCCTTATATTATATGATAAAAAAAGTAGTTTTTCCGCATTTTCTCCTAGCAAATTGCTTCGCCGATCTGCATATATTTGCCCAGCAGCACTGAACATTTGCTCGCTGGGGATACTGGTCGGTGGTGCAGACAAGTATTTCAACACCGCTTTCCTCAACGTCGGGTAGGGGCTGGAGTTCCAATAAGAAAATATGTCGGCATTCCGCTGTAGTCGCGGCTCCGACAAATAGCACTCGATTGTTTGTTTTAGTATAGTAGTTTCATCATATCCATTATTATCACATGGTGTACCGCCGGGGTTATCGTCATGGGTATCCCAAAGACTTTCGTCTTGTTTCTGAATATTGGATTCAACCAGCACTGGTTCTGCAGAAGAAGAAGAATGAATAGCATTTCTGTTCACCGCGCTGTCGCTACTACATCTGATCAAAAAAGATACAGTTTCTGTGATTCCGATGTCAACAGTATTGGGAGTTAGATACTTCGATTTGAAACGTGGGTCCAGCAATGTTGCTGCAATTAACGATGGATGCTCTTTCAAGAGGGACATTCTTTGGTTCATTGTCTCATATAACCGATTTTTCGTCATTGTCATACCCTCATCTTCGTTTTCCATTCGAGCTTGTAATTTCCGATTGAGTAGCGATATTAGAGGTATGATTATAGAAATACAAGCGTCATTCAATGATAAATCAAGGGTGGCTTCGTAAAAGAACTTCAATACTTCGACGAGTCGCTTCATAATTTCCCATTCGGTGGGACAAAGGGTATCTATTTTACCATGCTGAACAGTGTAGAGGTTTATAGCATTTTTTTGCTCTAACAGCCTCTGAAACATCAAATAGGTACTGTTCCATCTTATATCAATACTTTGAACCAGAGTATGTTCTGGCAGCCCGCATTGGATTTGGCATTCTTTCAATTTTCTTGTCGCTGGTTCACTGTGGTGGAAATGGCCTACTATCTTCCGACATTTTTTTATAATTTCTGTGGTGTCTTCATCAGCAAATAACGATTGCTTGATCACTAATTGCAGCGTATGCGATACACAGCCAAGAGACTCATAGTGTCCTGTCCGCATTGCACATGCCATATTTGCGGCATTATCTCGCAACACTAAAAAAATCTTACAATTTAAGTTCCACTCATTGATCATTTCCGTAAATTTTCGTTCAATGTACTGACTAGTATGGTCTTGTTCCATAACAGCTGCGCCTAATATAACTTTCAGGCGTTGATGCTCTATAATGAAATGACCTGTGAGACTGAGAAGGGAACATGATTTGCTAGTGTTGGTCCATATGTCGGCAGTCACACTTAACCAATCCGATTTTGCGATTAATTTTTTGACTTTAGCCTTTACTCGTTCGTAAGTTTGCGGCATTAATGTTGTTCGGAAAAATTTTTCACTCTTCAGTCTATATTTATGAAAAGCATCAGGATCAGCAAAATTAAGTCTTTGGAATGCTTCACCACTGACCAACGAATACGGCAACATATCGACAATCATCAAATCCATAATCGTTTTGTCTATTCTCCGTGAAATTTCATGATCATCTGGCCATTGTACACATTTAGGTCTAGCCAAACTCGGAATGGTCGACTGGACCAGGGTAGGTTGATTACCCTTATCAGTTTCTAAAACCGCTAGAGAGACTTTAGTTCGTTTTTGTATGTTTAGTTCATTTTTTATGTTCTCTAATTCAGACTGCCGCTTTAAAACTTGTCTGTGTTCTGTTCCATGGAACTTACTTAAATGCTGCTTCACTCCATATAGTGTTTGTTTTTTGGGTTCTTGACTTCCTAATGAGAGCGACTTTTTGCAGATTTTGCAAACTGCCTTAGATTAATCATTTGTGCTCTTTTCAAAAAACTGCCAAATAGGATTTCTTTCTCTGTGAGACATTTCTATCTGAAACAGATAATTTTCAGTTTTCACTCGATGATCAAATATAAATTGAACTAATATTATTGATCTTCATTGTAATTATTCATTAATTACAGTAAAGTTTTATGAGCTTTTCTTTGCTGTTACTGAGATAATTGTGTAATATTCTACGCGTATGACCTACTGCAGAACCTGGTGTAAACTGATGATTTATTACTCTCCCTCTTATTTCGAAATAGAAATTATCAATAATTATAATATAGTATATCCAGAATACATAATTACTAAATACTTACCTTTATTTAATACGCACACTACCTAATAAATGTAATAAATGCGTGACCAGCTTGTCGGCGAAGATCAAGTGACGTGATGAAACGCATACGGACACGAAGCGATCGCCCGACTACAACCGGACATATCCCGAGACCTTACGATCGTATGTTTCGGCCAAGCCGAAAGTTTCGGCCAATTTGCTGCCGAAACCGGAACTTCGACCGAAACCGGTTTTTTGGCCGAAACTTGGCCGAAACCGAATCCGAAACCGAAACTTCGGTCGGTCTCTAGTATTTGATTTATGACATCTCGATTGCGACGCGAACGGTCCAAAATGCGAACACGCTCCATACAAGGTCACGCAATTCTGGTTGCCTAAGCTTCGACTATGCCAAGCGACTCCTCACCGTTCAAGGTCCCTGTTATACGAGGCCGTTTCAATAGTACTGTAACGTGCCCTAAAGCGAACATTTGTTGCATGATTGAGTTCAACAGAAGCCATTAGTTTTGGCTTGTCGAAGTATAGATCACTGAGGACTTGATTTCGCACGAGCTCGTATGGTGGCAAGTAGGTTGATTCTGCATTTGCTACGAAATGCTGTCATTAATTCATACAGGATTATGTTCTGCACAAGTTAGTTCCTCTGAGGAAGTAGCTACGATTACAATATAATTAGTTCATAGTCCCGACGCATTCGACTACGTCAAAAAATCGAGATATATCGTCCCCTACCAACTGCAACATCCAAACTTCAATTTTTAGCCATTACAAAAATATTGATAAAAATGGAGGAACTTTTAAACCGACAAAAAACGAAGTTTGACTTTGACAGATTTAACAACATTGCGATCTGGCCTACCGCCCTACCGAAATATAACGGGAAACCTATGAAGTATGAAATATGTTGGTGACATATTAATTGATAGCACCAATAAATGACGTATACTCTCCCCACCCCCTACATCCAATTTGTAACTCTGGCAAGCATTTTTTTGAAAAAGATCAGGATGCTCTGGAACCTCAAAAAGAAGAATTCTGAACGATTTTTTTTTGTTTTACGCCTGTAGCTCCGCCGCCACCGGCCCGATTTTCAAAAACTATAAGGCGTTTAAGACCTTGCTATAGTAGTAACCTTGTGTGAAAGTTTCATCAAAATCTGAGATTTAACTCCTAAGTTATAGACCGGCCAAGGATTGTCAGATAGACAAGACGACCGACAGAAATAGTTGACATGCTTTTTCATTATGGATGCCATATAACATCCAAAAAGGATTCGTCATTTTCAAAGTCTTTTACGAATACCAAAAAATACTTACTTTTGTACTACTTCTGCTACATTGGCATGTAGCTATCAATCTGTGTGATGCCAATTTCAAGACACATGTCTTACTCGATAAAAGTTTTGATTTTGTGACATAGTTTTCCAAATATCTATGCGACGTACGGCGTGTATAACTATAAAGACATCGCTACCGACCGTGTCACTTCCAAATGCATTATCTCGGGAGTTAAAAATAAAAAATAACTATTAAGCTGTACTAATGTCAAATAGATCTAAGTTGCTACCATAAACATCATAAATATCCGCTGTTAGAATGCCTAAATATACTCAAAAGGTATGCGAAGAGCGGATGTTGTAAAAACCGCCGATGAGCCGTATTTTTATTTAACGGTACTCCTCGGAGACACTTTATAGGCGACTTCAGATGGGGCAAGGTTTTGTGGCGAATGGTAGTACCTCTCTCTCTGTCTTTATTTCTTTTTAGTTTCCCACACCAATTGGCTAGGAAGTATTGTAATCGCGAAAAATTGCGAAAATGAGTTATTGTATTTTTTGGATGTTATATGACAACTGCAACTAACTTTCACAAATTATTCCTTCACTCACAACAGCTTCAAATAATCAACTTGGTTTGTAGTTGGTACACAGTGTTAAGCTCCTTAGCAGCTGCTCTGATGCAGATATGATATTTGAATCTCAGATAAACAATATTTGCTGCAATTTAAACAAAAGCTTCTTTGCACAATATTTAGATGAATAATCTCTATTGTTATTAAAACGTATCAACAGACTATTATTTAATCTCACTTTCAGGGAAACTTGAAGGCATGATTTTATCAACAACAAACTGCTCACCGTACCTCGCATTCTTATATATGAATGCGTAAATTATCTTAAACGTAACAATAACAACTTCAATGCAAAATGAATAGCCTGATTATAATACAAGAATGACTAAATTAAAACAAAATGGTTTTAGGACTCTAACTAGCCACAGTATAATTTTGCAGCAATGTATAATGCTCTACCTAGAGATTTGAGGGTTAGTGATAGCTTCTGTACTTTTAAAAGAATGGTTTCCACTTATCTAATTGATAAATGTGTTTAATCTATTAACGAATTTTTAAATTGTGTATGTTGATACCTTTAAAAATGATTCTTTTTGAATATTATATTTTATATAATTTTTAATTTAGTCAATTATTTTAATGTGTTATATACGAGTACATACAATTTCAAACTTCAATTCAATATGGCACATTTTATGAATGTATCTTCGGATAACACATTTTTTCATCTTCATCCTTTTTTGTGACTTGCCATTTAAAACGTGCTTGTATTTTGGCTGAATAAAAAACTACTACTACCTACTACCCAAAAAACCATGTCACTCATTTTCGTCGGTCGTATACTTTAGAAAGTACTGCTTGTATTTTGATGGAATTTTGACGCTAACATGTCAAGAACGAAAAAGCTTTGTGGGTGTTGAAAATCGATCTAGTATCGGCAGAGCTATGGCCAAAAACAAAAAACATTCAAACTTCGTTTTTGACGTTCCAGAGACTCCTGCTCAATTTTAGAAGAACAAAATGTAAAAAGCGTAAACTGAGGATGGGATGTAAGGGAGAGGATGTAGGGGGTGAACGTTGTAAATATTGCATCCTTATTATAAGTGAAATGAGCTTCTGATTTAGGACTATGCACCCAAGATGCTATCGTCAATGGAGGCGGGCAGACTTTGCCAATGGAAAAATCATTATGTTAGATTACGGGTCAATTTCACCAACATTAATGTCGTGAAAAAACGGTTGCCTTATGAATGTGCTTTAGAATTAGGAGAACTTTCATAGAATTTCAAATTTTTATCATTTCAGAAAAGACAGTCAGTTATTTAAATAGACCAATGTATTCCTGATTCTGTCTATTAGCATATCTCTTGTGGTTACGGGAGTCTGGTACACTTTTTCGTTTAGAAATCCCCACACAAAGAAATCTAATGGATTTAGGTCAGGGGATCGTGGAGGCCAGGCGACTGGTCCTCCACGGCCGATCAATCTTTCTGGATAATTTTCGCCCAGCCAGTTTCTAACTATTGACAACCATCAAGCTGGAACCAGGCCAATCTTCTTAAATCTAACATAACATCATCCCACATATTTGCATGTTCAGCCTTTAAAAATTCCAAGAAGGTCGCAGTATTTAACCTTGCAGGCAAAGGTAGGGTCCAAATAGTCGATTACGGTAGATACCAATCCACACGTTCACGCTAAATTCGTGCTGAAAATTTGTTTCCCGAACTGCATGCGGATTTTCATGCGACCAAATATGTTGATTATGAAAATTTACCACTCCACGTCTAGTGAAGCATGACTCATAGGTCCATAAAACGTTACTTAAAAACTCCCTATTATTATCAGTTCTATCAAGAATCCACTGACAAAATGTGATTCTTCGTTCTCCGTCCCCTGGCTGTAGTCCTTGCACAGGTTGCAAATGGTAAGGACGTCTATGGTCATTTCTAAGAACACGATGAACATGGCTTGCTGAAATTCCCAAGGCACCAGAAAGTCTCCTAACACTTGTGGTCGGATCTCTATCAAACTCATGCAGAATCATACGGGTAAATCTGCGCTGACGAACATTTATGTTTTGATCCCTTTGGAGATGTCCAAAACCATTTTCAATTATTTGGCGATGCACTCTTACAAATACTGAGCGAGTTGGATGTCGTCTGTTTGGAAATCTTCTGCGTATTCTCTGGCTGCTTCTGCTGCGTTTCCATTCACAAAGCCATACACAAAATGAATATCCGCTAACTCTTGATTGGAGAATAAAAATGGCATTTTTATAAAATTTACAAAAAAAAAACAGGTAAAAGAAACTAAATTTCATGCATTCACAATTGCAAAAAAACGTTTCAGGTTTTAACAGACAACAAAACTAACTGTCAACTAATTGACGTTTAACCTTATTCTGCTTTCAATTTCAAAAATATTTGCAGGCACAGCCTACTTCTAAAAATTATCGAGATACTGACTTTTTAACGTTATTTTATCATAAATATACGTAATTAAAAATGCATCGAACCTTAAAAATCGAAATATCTCAAAAACGGCTAACTATAACGAAAATTCACAAGAGAGCTTTTTTATGTTGAAAAGTGCGAATAATCAGTTTTTTTATTCTAAAAGCAAAAAATTGCACTAAGAAAAATTTTTCGGTCATTTTAATACACTACAGGTACAGTAGAGAGCGCCCTCTAGCGGCTATAGTAAAACTATGCCCATGGTTCGTTTTGTCGTACCAAAAAACCCTTGTATACCAATTTTCACTGTTATACATCAAATATTGTTCGAAATATTTAAAAAAACTATTTTAGAAAGTAAATTTAAACGGAAGCCACGCATTTTTCGACCCATGTTTATATGGACTTTATGCATTTATTTTAAAAGTTCTATCGAATCTCAAAGTTATGCAACAATAAACTGAAACACCCTGTATATATATACTATACTTTTTTAAGGTGATCCAAAGTGATCCCAGTCAGTAGCCAGGCTTCTGCAGATGCTGAGAAAGATCCGAGATCCAGCGGTTACTCATTTGAGGAGTGTAATATTTTAAGATCATACCTACTGGAATCTCCACATAGCTTTTTGAACAGTGGAGCACTACGAAAAGTTCAGCTGTCGGTGTCAACCCCTGAGGTCCTGAGAATTATCAGAAGTTCGGAGATTACTTGTGATCTAACCAGAAGGCACAGCTCATACTTTCTTAATATTCAATAAGCTTTTGATGTTTCAATGACAAGCTGTCATCTCATACTTTGACAGTATTTTGTTTTCAACATTTCATAGCTATTGGTTGCTAAAAATTGTTGATTGGAACTTGAAGCACATTCGCTGTATTTGAAGGACTGTTACCCTATAGGTGGAAATAACGGACTGTTGATTTGACAATCCTGATGAAATCCACCCTACGGTATTTCACTTTGAGTAATTCTGAAATGAAGGTGAACGACGGATTTTATACGGACAACGTAGAGTAAAGCCCTGACAATGTTAGATACAAACATAAAGCGAAATTTGCAGATAAAATCCTTGTCTAGTGCGCAATTTTCAACAAGGGTGTATCCCAACCTTTTGTGGTAAGAGTGAGGGGTGAAGATTTGAATACTCAGAGCTATATTGATAACTGCCTTTCCAAATTGCTTCAGTTTGTCCATGCACATCATGCTAATGACCATTTTTTCAAAATCAAAATAAAGTTCATTTAAAGCAACATATTTTCTTGGGAGATGTCAATATAAATATTTTGGACGATGATCCCATCACAAATGAATACTTGAATATCCTATCAAGTAACGGATTTCTGTCCTATATAAACCTACCTACAAGGTCCATCAGTGGCACATGTATAGATCACTGCTTTGTGAAAGACCTATCCAACAAAATTACTTGTATACCAATAATCCTAGAAAGCGATATTACTGACCACTTCTCCACTATTTTACTGATATCTTCAAATGAAAAACATTCTAACATCCCTACCGTTAGTAACAACCATGAAAATTACAAATTTTTTGTCGACAATTCAAAACTAATATCAAATGTCAAACAAGAATCCTGGGAACAATTATACTCTGTAAATAATATAGACAAAGCAACGGGACTGTTCATAGAGAAAATAAAAAAAACTAATAGATATTAGTACCAATAAAGTAATAATTAGTCACAAAGAGAAAAGCAGAAATGCCTCGATTACCAAAGGATTAATAACATCGGCAATAGAAAAAGAAAGACTATATAATGTAATGACACTAACGCCAACTACAGAGAATACCGACTGCTACAACCAATATAAAAATAAATTTATAGAGCTTGTAAGGCAAACCAAACGAAAACATTACCTAAATAAATTGAATAATAACTTAAATGATCCTAAGCGGCTTTGGACAACTATTGATGAGATTACTGGGAAAACAAAAGTTAAAGAGTGTGTCACTGAGTTAAATACAACATCGGGAACAGTATTAAAAAATACTCAACAGATATGCGATGAATTTGTACAATTCTTTACTGACATAGGCGAAAATTTAGCAAGT